GACATGTAACACGTTTATAATTCACCATAGTAACACGTTTGATAAACAACGCAGTGATATATTAACACCTTTATCTTTAATTACCATCAATATAACACTGATAATACGGTATATCAAACATCTTTATAATATGTTAACACAGGCTTCATATTATTAAACGTATTCATTTGTCTCAAGTATTTATGGTCTATTTAAGACTTGTTTCATATAAACAAGTAGTACCCCTATCCTTCTCCGTCTTTTTCAGATTTTTTATTGGCGTGTCTGTGGTGTCGTGTTGAAACACTATAATTTAACCGACCCCTGCGTAACAAATATGTAAGAGCGGATTTATAGAAATGAAATGAAATGAAGTTTTACGTATTACTTTTCTGCGCCAATCGGGCTAATAAATGAAATGAAATGGGGTTTAACTTCCTACTGTTCTGCTCCTAACCTGGGCTAATGAAGACGCCTCATACTCCATACAGTGTGCTATGAGGGAAATTTTGCCCGGGCAGCGGCACTATCGCCTACTCTTATATCGCATTCTAACTGCCAAGGGATCTTTTACGTGCATTCCAATGTATACACGGGACCTCGGGTTTCCGTATCATCCGAAGGACTAGACAACTGCCTTGTCAGGCCCTCCGTCCTGCATCACTGACAAGGGGAAACCACGCCGGAAAATCGGGCTAATAAAGACGGGCATACGCCATAATATACTATGAGGAGAATGTTGCCTGCGCTGTGGCCTACTCTTATTTCCAGTTCCAACTGTCAGAGGATCTTTAAAGTGACGCCTACTGCTTCACTGACAATGGGGAACTAGGTTGGACTATCCCAAGGAACTTTCTCGGTCAACACCTGGACAGAGCACTAGTCCATATTCACTGAGCCACTTGGATTTTAAGAAAATAATTGTGTCTCGCTACTCTAAAGCGGCCCATACACATTCAATTTTTTCGTCAATTAATTGCCGAATTTGTCCTTGTCCACACACGATCAATGTTTTATCGTCAATTTTCATTCTGATCGAAAACTTCGAGATGACATCTCTGGCACAAGCACACACGGTCTATAATTTAATTGACGAACCGTCAATAAATGTCAAAGGAACTTTAATCCGTCAATTAATAGATTCAATTAAATTGTCCTCCATACATGTCCAATTTCTTCGTCAATCAATTAATTGATGCCAATTAATTGACGAAAAAATTGGATGTGTATGGACCGCTTATAAGACGGTGTTATTGTTGTGTCACGTGACTGTAAAAAGATGTTATTCAATCACTCGTACAATATCCCGACCAAACCACAAAAGGGGCGTCGTTTATCGTCATTCAAATACATGTACACAATTTGAAATTTGAAATTACGAACAACAAAGAGAAGACGCCTATAGATGTGACACCCTTTCGCGGTGAACGTAACGAGAAAGCGCGAAAGCATTTATAATTGAAATTTATGGTAAGTTCGCTTGCTAGAATGTTCTATGAGCTGTGTGAGTATGTCAGGCACACCCCACTAAGTCGACAACCCCACGCCTTGTCACACACGGTACGTCACACTCACAACAGCATAGATGGTCTGTCGAACACCTCTAGACACGAAACCACGTCACAACCAAGCAGAAACATACAAGACAGACCCGCGGACACATCACACGTATAATGCACATACATTGTAAGTAATACATTAATAAAGATATTATTATGGACGCATAGTCAGATCGAAAGCGTCTATTGTGCTTTACAGTCCCGGATCTGCAGTCATTACAATCTTGATAATAATGCATACAATGGGGTATGAACAAACAAAAAACCGCAAAACATGCAAATGGGGGAGAATTTCCTAAACATAGTTTTATTCTAGGATATATATCGCTATCTCAATGTTAGTACATTGACGAACATGACTTAGATCTATCTTAGGTGTAGAAGAATAACACGAATGACTCACAATAGAAAGAAAGTTGAAGACATCTTATAGATAGACACCAATATAGTTCGATATAATTACGTTATCATACAAGTGTAATGACAGTGTTTCAGATTTTTATAGAATCAATCAAAACCTAGGTAGATAACAAATCTAATTAGGGAAATGAGAAGAAAAAAAACGGTGCTCGTGAATAGCGATCAATAGATTTTGTCTAGATACGTAATAGATGCTTTCCCTTTATATATGAGCAATGAACAATAGATGTCTTTTAGATACGTAATAGATGCTTCCCTTTATCGCTTACTCATATCCCGATTTACTATCGAGATAACAGGACAAGGGTGCATTATTTGTCTCGATATGACGGGAGCATCAAGTACATTCTACAGAAGTGGTATCAGGTATTCTATGAATAAGAATGTGTGCGAACTCCTCAAGTGTAGAAGTGTGGAATGTGTGGTTCTGTCTCCTCTTCACAAATTTAATTTTAACTGGAAGTGAACAACAGTGGGGTCAAGTGGGATGCCCGAGTCGCTAAGAAATAAGCATCGATCTTTTAAAATGTGTGAACATTTCTTGCCATTAGTGACATTACAAAAAACGTAAACACTATGTCGTACAGACTTCTCCTGATTAAATTCATGTCTTTATGCAAATAGTAATTATTTTGCGGAGTTTCGTATTACGTCAAACACCTCTGGTAATATAATTTAAAGGTGCTTATTCTGAATATCTGTACGTCAAATTTCATATCCGCAGAATATTGCCGTTTTTGTCATTCTTTTGGGCCAGCATTTAGCGAATAAATGAGGACTTCACAGATTATAATATCGCAAGATGCTGATGAATTAATTTAATTAATTATACAAAGTGGTGTAAGGATAATTATAATTTGATGTTATCCGAGAATCTTGACACATTCTACTTCGGTATATATCTTATAAATCTATTCTGACATAGACTTATTATTGTTTACATCTTGTAGACCTATAATCATTATGCGTCTAATGATAGATATTAACCTATATGTCAAGATGTTTTCACTATGGGATACTAATTACACAATAAAACATCACTGTTCTAATCTAAACCACTTCATCTATTACTTCATCTACCGGGATTTCTACCCATTGTACAGATTACGTAGGGAATCAATACATTAATTAGTATCCATTGTTGACCTTTTATATATTAATCACTGTTTATTGTTAACGAAATCCACTTTATCCTGTAACTGAAATGGGGTTTAACATCCTACTTTGACCTAGTGTCTGTGGCTAAAACGAAATTGGGTTTAACGTCCTACTTTTCGGTACCTACAGGTTTAAAGAAGACAGGCATACGCATGGCTACGTGCTATAATATGAGAGGAAGTTGGCCTGGATAGTGGCGTACTCGCCCACTCTTCCCACATCCCAATTGTCTACGGTTCTTTTACGTACATGCTAATGTGTACACAGTTTTTACTTCTATCCGAACGGCTTGTCAAAGTTAAAATTCATCTTTTAAATTATCTTTTTTTAAAATTGCTCTATCATTCATTATTCTGTTAACATTTACCTGTAAATACAGCAGATCGAAGTTCTTTGCTGAAAACTGAGCTATTTCCATGTTTTGTAGCACTAATAAATAATAATTTCTCTTGGGGTGATTGAATAATATAATTTCTCTTGGGGTGATTGAATAATATAGCTTTCTAAAACACAACTTTTTCAAGAAGCTTCTATTATGCGTCTTCCTTACTGCTGCCATATACCTCAGCGTTTGCGCATACATGAATCACACTATATTACAACAGTATCGGAATAAAATTTGCGCACCTGTATGTTTAATTATCAAATTTCATTTATGCACGCAGTTACTGCTTCGTTTATCGCTTACTGGGAGCCGCGGTAGCTCAGTGAGTAAGACTTTGGTTCGCTAACCTGGAGGTCCCTGGTGTTCGATCCTGGTATTCACCGAGAAAGTTCATCGGGATTTTCCTGTGTGCCCCCCCCCCCCCTTTGTTAGTTGTACAGGACGGAGGGTCCGACAAGGGACAACGTATAGTAAGTAGTTGGCGCGTACGCAACAGAACCCTGGAATTCGATATAAGCGTGTAGGCCGTATGCCCGCCTTCATTAGCCAAGTCGCTGCAGAACAATGGGACGTTAAATCCTATTTCAGTTCGTTTCTTTCGCATACTGTAGTACATTTTAAAACTGTAAATATTAAGCTCAGGCATGTTTAATTACCACAAGTGTGATTAGATGTGGGCATAATTAAAATATAAAGATGTTAAAATACGCGTCACTAACACACCTTTATACAACAAACAATAAACAAAGTGGTAACAATGCTGTGTAAATTAACTACACACCTTTAACACGACCCAACGAAATGTAACAAATATTGTCTCGTTTGACTTTTAGGGGTTACGGTCAAACTAACAGAGCAAACGTGGACTGTTTACCTTGCGTTGTATTCAGAGACCGCTGTTTGTTAAGTTATCCACCGGACCCCCTTTCTCCCTTTTATAAATTGAACATTACCTCAACTGCCTGTAGATCGAATATTGTATGTGTCTTTTATACAATTGAAATCAATGCTATTAATGACACAAAACTTTTATATAAATTTAAGATTCTTTCAAATGGATTTACAGTATGATGCCCTGTACCGGAATAGACATAATCAGAGTCAAACTGCATTTAAAAAAAAAATAAAAAATAAAAAACAACATCAATTTCATCTAATTAACCAATTTTTGCTTTATACAAAAACCTACTGGATTGATATTTCAAACATCCAAGATTCTTTTTTGTACATGCGACTTTTAAATTACAATACATTATTGGAATTCCTCATTGGCGAGAGGCAGTAGGATACTTAATTTTGTTCTACAGTATTGACAAAAATATTTTTCAGACGGTACAGTAGCCACGATGCAAGACGCCTGATTCAAATTTATTTTCCCACGAAACACTGTGAGTTTTTTGTTTAACAAGTATGTCTATTTACGCGTGAGGGTGGGGAGGGGACTCATCAAGGAACGATCCGACCGGGCGTCGTAAACTATCTAGCCACAATGATAGCAAAAGTGTGTATTATTTATGCGTTGTTATTATTGTATTCGGTGTAGAGATATTTCCTGTGCGGTGTAGACTAACTTTACAACTTCCTTCAGACGTTACCTAGAGTAGTTATTGAGTTTTACCTGGATCGATTCAAAACCCTAAACGCTAATAAAATGTTGTCTGCTGTGGGAGTTAAATGAGAGCGCCATCTCGCGGCGAGTATATCATCCCTGTTTGTTCTTAGCCTATAAACTGTCAGCTTGTAGTGTTGGCAAGTAGCGACACAAGACGCGGAGAGGTGTTTGAGTGGGTTATCAACGTAACGGACTAGCGGTAAAAACCACAGTCAGTTTCTTCTTTTAAAAAATAAAAAGATGGATTTAGGATTAACAGTATTTGGGATTATTTCGATCCTTTCTTTAATACATGGTAAGTTAATTATTTTGTTTCAATTTTGAATGTTAATTGTATCAAGTAAATATATCGCACATGTTAAAAGTTTGATTGACATACATGTAGATATCTTCACAAGATAACAATAAACATGATTACATGTTAAGATATGTTAAGATTAAATAACGAAGCCTTGTAAAATCTTTCAACCATTACTCAAAATTACCGAATTTGATAGGAGCTACTTTTCAACAACGATTCTCTTCGTTTATGCTTAAAAATGGTAAGAGAGGGAGAGAGAGAGAGAGAGAGAGACAGAGAAATGGGGTTTAACGTCCACTCGACACAAACTAGGTCATTTCGGGACTAACATATGGTTTAATTTTATTTCAATAATTCGCTTGCGCGTAGGGGTTGGACGTACAACCGGGGAATCGAAACCACACCAGTTGACTCAATGACAGACTTTATGATACAGCGCGCACGTCCTAACTCTTCAGCCATCCAACCCCCCGAAAAACGGTAAGAGAACACTTGTCGAAACGTCGTGCTGTATGTGTACTTTACAAACCAGTGATTTGTTTCCCCGACATATTATTATTGTTTTGTGTAATTACTCAATCGCTAATTACCACTCGACTGTCGTAATTTCTATTCTTGACGTTAGTCAAGTTTTATTAACATAGTCAGATTTTAATAATACGTTTACCCTAAATTGAAAATAAAATATATTATTGATGCTTTACTGTGTGTTAGTTATGGTAATCTAGGAATAAATCTACTAATTAAATGGGTTAATTAAGGTACGTGGTGCAAAAGAAACAAATAAGCATGCCCCACCTCGTGCACGATTGCCTTTAATGGGGAGATAATTTAAAATTGGAGAAACCGCACAAATCTTGATATAAAGCTAGCATCGTCGTCAAATTGAAATGAAATGAAATGGGACAGGTCTAAAGAAAATGGACAAACGCCAGGATATTTTGACCGGATACTGGCATTTCCGCTTACTTTTATCGAATTCGACTACTCTTCACATCCGAACGATTACTCACAGTCCCGTGTCAGGCCACTCGCCCTGCACCATTAGTGACGTGACTCCACTGACAAAGGAGAAAAATTCCGCCCATTATTAATATAAGTACATCAGGATTTGTTGCCTATATGAATTGATTTAGAAGTGGTATTTGGTGTTCTAGAGAGAGAGGGGAGAGGGGGAGAGAAAGAAGGAGAGAGATCGAGACACACACACACACAGATGGAGTTAAACTTCTACTCGACACAAACTATGTCATTTCGGGACTAACATATGGTTTAATTTTATTTCATAATTCGCTTGTTCGTAGTTTTCTTAAGTAGTGGATGAAACCGGAGGACCGGGGGAACCCCACGAGGTTGTACCGGCGACTCTACTTCTTGACTCAATGACAGACCTTATGATCCAGTCACCCAACACCCCAAAGAGAGAGTTATAATACTAAACAGCCACTAAAATACTGTTAGTTACCTTATCATGTACGGGATCTGGCTTATTTTGTGTGTATAAAAGGTGCAAATGCACTTGATATAATGTCATATTATACAGGTTCAATCTTGTGGGGGAACCAAATTATGTTACTATTGGATTGTTTATTTTGTGACTTCAAGTTTGTGAAAATATAACAGAACAGTAGCTTTTATTTATGTCTAAACGTAGAGACACTACCCAACACCACATAAAACAAACAGTACATGGATACACAGACAATGCAAATATAAACGAGAACAAAAACAAAAAACAACTCCTAAAAATCACATAGAGGCCGTAAATAATCATGTAACAGTATAATTATATTAAATGTTTCCAGTTGATAATAATACCCGCTGTAAGTTATATCTGGCCTATAATTAATTAAATACTCTCTGTATGTTATATCTGGGCCCTGTTTCTCGAAATCTTAACTAAAGATAAAATCCATATTTTAGTAGATACTTCAATTTTGATTGGCTAAGCAGTAAAATCAATCTAATATTATCCAATCAAATTACTAAAATCTAGATTTTATCTTAGTTAAAAAATTCGTGAAACAGGCCCCGGGTCTAAAAGTTATATCTGGGCTATAATTAATGAGATACTCTCTATGTTATATCTGGGCTATAGTTAATGAGATACTCTATGTAAGCTATATCTGGGCTGTAATTAATTAGATACTCTCTACAAGTTATATCTGGGCTATAATTAATGAGATACTCAATGGGCTATAATACTCTCTGTAAATTATTTCTCGACTATAATTTCACCTTGCTGGTTATATTTACCGATGTCTGTGATATCACCTCGGTGGAAGCGGACGTTAAATACAACCAACTCACACATATATTTACCCTTATAAAAATATATTCATATATAGTTATGTCGACATCTTAAATGGTACCACCCACAATCCCGATTATGTAATCATTTTATATTATTGTACAATCTAATATCCACGCTTACTATATAGAAATAGAGACATAGCCCCCCCCCTCTCTCTCTCTCTCTCTCTCTCAAGATAATATACTCCGTATTACGGACAGTCAATGTCCTAAATATACCCGTAATAAGCAGTAATTATATTCCATACACAGTGGTTGCCATGCAACATGCTGGCACTGCAACCGGTCAGATATCAAGGCAGGAACAATAGTTCACATTTTATAATAAATAAGTTATTTAATTAATTGTGGGTTCATGATGCAGTTTGATGCTAAGATTGCCATAAGAAATATCACAGATAAAAATATGTTTTGTGTGTAGAATAAATGATTTAATTATATGCTCGAGTAAACGTATCTTTAAACCCGCCCAAGTAATATATTGATATTGATGTATCTTTAAACCCAGTCAAGTAGACTATGTTAATTCTGACATATCTTTACATCGACCCAAGTAGACTATATTAATACTGATGTATCTTTAAACTGATCCTTGTTAATATTGATATATCTTTAACCTGACCCTTTTTAATATTGGCGTATATTTAAACCGATCCTTGTTAATATTGACATATCTTTAAACCGACCCTTGTTAATATTGACGTATCATTAAACCGACCCTTGTTAATATTGATGTATCATTAAACCGACCCTTGTTAATATTGATGTATCTTTAAGCCGACCAAAGTAATGCTAATATTGACATATCTTTTAACCCGGCCCTTGTTAATATTGATGAACATGTATCTTTAGCCCCACCCAATTGTTAATACTTAAAAAGAAACAACCTGTAATTTAAAGATACAAGGAATGTATGTATCAGAGAATGTATGTATCTTTTATTATAACCGTGTGTAATCTCAACGCCTCGTTGATTTCTATGTAAACTTGTGTTAAGTAAATTATGGCCCATAAAAAACAACTTGATCTCCTGAAATTGTTGACATTCTTCAGGATTTATTGTAAATCCAGCAAACAAATGTCACAATTTGAACAATACAAAACATGTGTAAATCGTCAAGTACTATTATTAATATATGGATTTATAGTTTTTGTCATTAAATGGAACATTTTGTATTCTTTTACAAAGATGTTTATTACACCAGTCGATAGTAGCATTAACTACAATGTAATGTAATGTTAGAGTGACTTATCATTGTTCTATGTAAATTCAAATTTAATAGTTAGAGTGAATTATTATTAAAACCTATAAATATTGCCTATTCAGAATGATTTAATACCAGAGCTGTAGCATATAAACGTGGATGGGTGCCATTCACGAAGCAGGGTATAACTTATAATAACAATTAAGAGCCAGGGCATAGCTTGTAGCATTCACGTGGTAGGGTATAACTTGTAGCATTCACGTATTAGTGTGTAGCTCGTGTAACATTTAGCATTTACGAGGTATGTTATAACTTGTAGTATTCACTTGGTAGGGTAGAGCTTGTAGCATTCACGTGTTGGGGTACGGTATAGATTGTAGAGTTACATGGTAGCATATTACTTATAGCATTCACAAGGTGGGATATAACTCGTGTCGTTCAAGTGACAGAGTATAAATTACCTAATGTACGAGGCAGAGTATGCATAAGCTTTCTAGAACATCAGGTATCCCTTCTCGTGGTTAACTACAATTTGTAGCACTTGTGTAATACCGATGTATACTGTTTGTCTTTGTATTTATAGACATATTTCGTCCATGCATCCTACCATGCATGTTGTTTTTGCATCTAAGACACAGAGGCGGGGTTTCACGTCCACTCGACACAAACTAGGTCATTTCCGGACTATAAAATATGGTTTAATTTCATTTCAATAATTCGCTTGCGCGTAGGGGTCTTTCGCAGTGGGGGGGGGGGGGGTCGGAGGACACGGAGAAAACCCACGAAGTTGGACAGGCGACCCTACTCCTTGTCACGTACAAGCGGGGAATCGAAACCACACCACTTGAATCAATCACAGACCTTCTGATTCAACACGCACGCGTTAGACATTCGGCCACCGAACCCCCAGATTTTACGTTTCTAAATATACACGTCAATATTATATAATAACTGTAGAACAGTTTAGCATTAAATAACATGTCAATATACCAAACACTAACAACTGTTGTATTATTATTCATATGACATGCATGAGGAAGGTATATAAATATTATTGTTATTGTTACGAGCCAATTTAAAGAGTTGTTATTGTTATTGTTATAACTGTCTGTAAGTGATAATTATTATTATTGATGTATCGTTATAATTATTGTAATATCACGTAACATAATGTTTAACATAAACATATTACAAGACACTGTTGTTTGATTATACGTCGTTATGAATTAATCCTGTTTTCAAACTCCAAACGGTCTTTTCACCACGCATCACCGTTTTTTCTAGAATTCTCTACCCATTTCATTACGTGGTTTACCCTTGGAAATAAAAGATTCAAAGGTTATAGGCAACTTCAAGAGAATAATAGAAGAATCAACATAACCTTATAAAATCAATTTCTAGTCATTCGAATGAGATAAAAACCCGAAGTCTTGTGTACACATTGGCGTGCACGTAAAAGAACCTTTGCCAGTTAGA